CGTTCTCTTCACGTCCACCAATAATGGCGTTTCCCCCTAAACCATTTGACAAACGATCCATCTCGTCAGCTTTCATGGAAAACAACTTGGCTTCCACGACTTCCGTGTAACGAACCCAAGCGCTCCCGTCACTTCCACCAACGACGTTTCACCCAGCACTTCTGAACAAACGATGCATCTGGTCGGCTTCCATAGAAGTCACCTTCACTTCCTTGACTTCCGGTGAATGAACCCAAGCTCTCCCTTCTCTATCACCGATGATGTGCCACCCTACACCATTGGAATAATGCATCGTGTCAGCTTCCATGGAAGTCAGACTTCCACGACTCTCGTTGAGCGAACCCAAGCGCTCCCTTCACTTCTACCAACGGCGTTTCACCTGACACCACTTGATAAATGATGCACCTCGTCAGCTTCCATGGAAGTCAACTTCACTTCCACGGCATCCGTCGAGTGAATCCAAGCGCTCCCTTCACTTCCATCGATGGCGTTTCACCCAGCACTTTTGGACGAATGGTCCATCTCGTCAGCTCCCATAAACGTCAACTCGATATCCACGAGTTCCGTAAAATGAATCAAAGCGCTCCCTTCACTTCTGCTGATGGTGTTTCGTCCTAATTGGACAATGATGCATCTCATCAGCTTCCATGGAAGTCAACTTGACTTTCACGACTTCCGTATAGCGAACCCAAGCGCTCCCTCTACTCCCACCAATGATGTTTCCCTCCACACCTTTTCACAAGTTATTCTGTTGATAGCTTCCGTGAGAGTCATGTTGACGTCAACAAGTTCCGTAGAATGAACCTAAGCCCTCCGTTCGCTTCCGTTGATGGTATTTCATTCACCACTTTGGACGAATGATCTTCTTGACAGCTTCCATGAAAGTCGACTTTACTTTGTACTTCCGTTGAATGAATCCAAGCGCTCCCTTAACATTCACCGACCGTGTTTCACCATACACGTTTCGACGAATGATGCATCACGTCAGCTTCCATTTAAGACACCTTTACTCCCATGAATGCTGCTTATCGCACCCAAGCGCTTCCTTCACTTCCACCAATGGCGTCTCACCGTACACTATTGAAGGACTGATGCATCTCGTCAGCTTTCGTGGATGTCGCCTTCACTTCCACGAATTCTGTAGAATGAACCCAAGCAATCCCTTCACTTCTACCGACCGCGTTTCAACCTACACAATTGGACGAATGATGCATCTTCTCAGCTTCCATGGATGTCAACTTCACTCGCATGAATTCCGTATTTCGTCGCTCTAGCAATATCTATCAATTTATTTGTTTATCTTGCCGTTCCACCGATTATTCCACGCACGACGACCCACAGTCGCGCGTGCACAACCGGCCCATGTAATATTCGGTACGTGTCGTGACGGCCGCATGCCGTTCCGCAGTCGCACCAGCGACATACATGCTGTACATCTTGCTTTCGGCTCCTGATAACAACGGATCATCACCTGATGAGACGCTACCATAAAAAAGCCGTGAGCCGGCAACCATACGCTCCAGCGTAACCAGCTCCATTCTACCTATTGATGTGTTTTGTTTATCTTGCCGTTCCACCGATTATTCCATGCACAACGACCTACATTCACGCGTGCTCAACCGGTCCATGTAAGATCCAGTATGTGTCATGACGGCCGCATGCCGTTCCGCAGTCGCACCAGCGACATACATGCAATACATCTTGCTTTCGGCTCCCGATAACCACGGCTCATCACCCGACTAGACGCTATCATGGTCGATAATCAATAATCGCACCCTTCTCATCCGGTTCACATTGACTTCTGGAAAACCTCATGGGGAAAAAAAATATATCATCCATCAAGTGTACACGCCATGACAAGCAGCAACGACAATCGAAAGAAAGTAGATTTGTGTTTATCTCTGGGTTTGGACAGCGGTT